CTACAGTATGATTTCTGACAGTATGCTGAGCTGATAGTGTATTTTAGTGTATTTGCATCTTCCTAATACTTTGGTTGTGGGTTATTTTGTTTGTTTGTTTGTTTGTTTTTTTTTTTTTTTTTGTCTGAAAGAAAAGGCAAAAGTGGTAAGGAAAGTGCAGAATATATGATATATACTCTGAATATAAAATGATCAGGAATGTAGAGCTCAAAGTTTGTAGTCAACCAGCCTTCATCGGCATATATCATATAGAAACCTGCTGTTCTGATGTATCAAAAGATACAAGAGACAGAATGTAATTACTAGATAGGTAAACATTAGAATATGAAATAAGAGTAATAAAAAGATATTACTGCTTGGTGTGATAGTAAAATATTTTGCCATAGTCTTTGGTATTAGTTTCCATAAAAGATGCTGAAAACTTGGGAACAGCTCTGAAAAGAGCTAAAAGAATGATTAGAGTTTAAATTAAAAAAACAAAACAAAACCAAACCAAAAACAACAACCCAAACAAGATGAGGCAAATTATTTTATCAATGACAAAGGTCAGACCATTGGCAAGTTGCCTGTTAGTAGAATCTGCACAAGGAAGACATTTCTGTTAGTAGAACATCCTTCAATCTAGGAAAAACGAGAACATAAGAAATAGTGGCTGAAGCTGTACAAATTTAAACTAGTAATAAGAATGAAGATTTTAACCAGGAGATCAGTAGTCATTGGAGCAATGCCGTGGGGGAAATGGTTTTCAATGTTTTTTTCAATTTGTGATTTCTGAAATGTTTTTTGTTAGAGAACATACACTGCTTTTCATCAAATGTTGTTCTGGTGACAGTGTGCTTGCTTTTCTTTGTTACCTTTCCCAGATCTCCAGATGTCCACTAACAAACCTAAGGACATGAGTTCTTCATTGCTAAAAGTCACTAAGTGCAAATGAATCCTTTTCTGAAAGTTTACCTAAACAGATCAGATATTTAGCTGTAGGAATTACTGGGTAGGGTCCCTCTGGCGTGTGATACACACTAACTACATTTTTCTAATGGCCTCTCCTTCTCCTCAAATACTTTCATATTTATGGGGGAAGGAGGTGTTCCCTCTTTGCTGACAAGGTACTCCCTGCTGTCACTGTGGCAAAGCTTCTCCTCTCTGCTATTTATTTCAAGTCCCTCAGTCAAGAACTTCATTTGCCTTTGATACTTCCAGGGCATTCTACACAAATGCACTCCTTTTTAAATCTTTAAGTCAAGTTTCATTTTGCGTCAGTCTATTCTGGGTTTGCCCAGGAATTTTCAGAGCCAGACGGTCACTTCAAGGTGAATCCTTAGTATGTTTGGAAGAGATTAGTTCCAGGATGTCATATTACTGTTATTTTGTCTGTGAGTAGACTATGAGACCCTGCAGAGAAAACTCTCAAGTTTTCTTTCCAAGGTACATAATAAAGCAGAAATACAAATTTGTAAATTAAGTGTAAATTAGATTTGAATGAGAAGCAGTTCATACTGCTGGGCAGGTGGTAGAATTTTATCTCCATTGAAGTTTGTGTAATATGGGAAGCCCATTTCATTTGCATTTCGTTTACATGTCACTTACAGCTGGAGATTCAATAGGAACTCAGATGTTGGCATCTGAATTTTTGTTTCATACTATCCCTCCCTTTCTGGGGGTCCAGACACCAAATAGACTGACAGGTACTTGGCCAACATATACTCCTTTCCTTTATTTATCTCGGTTTAGTTAGAAATTATTAACTTTTCTTTTAATTACTGACCTTTCCTTTCCAGAAATTACTGGTTTTCCTTTCCTACTGATAGGTAAACCTGTACTGTTTGTGCCTCTGTTCATCACACTTTACACTAAAAGGCAGGTACGCTTTAATTGCCAAGATAAACTACTGTCAAGTTCTGTGACTCAGCAAGTACACTGGGTACCTTTGCTACTAGGGCAGTGCAAGGAATCGATTATTTTTTAAAGTAGATAAGCAAAGAAATTTTTTGTATCAGAAATCAAATGTGTATGTTCCAGTTGTCAGGAAAAAAAAAAAAGTTAAATGCTGATGGAGCTTGTGTTGCCATTACCACTTTAAAAACAAAAATATCACAGTTCCTTCACAGATTAGAAGCAAAGAAAAAAATTAGTTCTCCTTCTCAGGCGTTACTTGAGATGTTTCTTCAAATTTTTTTGTATAAGTGAAGCTGTGTGGTCTCATATATAAGCTTCCAATCAGGTTTGGGTACACTCTCTGGACAGCATGTCTCACATGAATGCCTCGCTATAAAAAGATGAAATAACTGAGTGTAATTCCTATCTTTAATCTGTCTTTAGCGCCATACATGTTAAAACCTCCAGATTATATAAATACAAGTTTTCTGTATATTTGCACCAATGTCTGAAATTTCATATGCAGTTAGTACTCCAAACACTTGGAGACACATAATAATCTCATTATTACACTGATTTTTTTTGTTATGTGCAGAAAGGCCCATGGGTCTTGTACAGGTTTAGTCTTGCAAGCAGTTTCAAAATGCCATTCATCTTTACACATATTTCTTTACACAGCAATTCAAAGCTGCTGTTTCTTACTCTTGCAGTGCTTACCCCATGAGCATTTAAAAAAAATATGGCCAAAGATAATACAAACCCTTGGGTATTATACTACTAAGGAGAAATTGTACCAGCTTTTCTCTTTGACTTTGCTAGTTAAATTTGCACTGGGAGGTAATGAAACTTTGGTAATATGGTATTAAAACCGGATGTGCTTGGCTAAAAAGAAGTGTGTTATAAGTTTGTTTTGCTAGCCTGTAGGTGGAAAGCACAGTTGAGATCACACTTCTCAAAATATCAGTTGATTGCTGTACAGTACCTGTTTGTCTTTGCTGATTGGGTAGAGCTGTTGCTGGGCTGATACTGTTTTGACCAAAATTAGAAAGTCAATATAAACGAGTCAAACTAGACTGCCTGCTTTTTTCAGTTCTCTCTTCTGATTCATCAGTTGTTTGTTTCAAATTCTTACAGCCTTTGTGAATTGGGGGTTGTACCAGCAAAGGTGAAAGCTCTTAGTGGTTAGTCAGTAAGAATGTTCATAAAAATTTGTCTTGATGACATTTAGATACTAGCAAAAATATGATGCCTAGTTAAAAAAAAAGTGGAAGTGAGTCCTATGGAGTGATCGTATTAAATACATGGATGTGAGAACCTATTCCTCACTTAGGAGACTGCCTGCTGCTCATATTCAGGGATGGCATTCATCTTCTTGACCCCAAGAGGATGTTACTACCAACGTCTTATGGCAGAGGCTTAAGACCTGAAACTGACTGATGAAGACATGCATGAAAGAAGGATTCATGTCTTACACATTCTTTTCCATGCAGTATTAGTATGTATACTTTAACAAGTTGGACTGTACCTGCTTAACTTATGGTATTAATACCAGGAAGGATTAGAATATCTGTGAATATAACTATTGTATTTGAAGAAAAACTACATGTAAGTTGTTTAGCAAAATTCTAGGTTAGTGCAAGTACAGCAGTTTAGCAGCTGAAGGTAGATGGCTGTGCTGTACTTGAAGAAATGCTGTTAGTCCACCTGCACTATTAAAATAAAGCTATGGAGTTTTCTTTCTGGAAATTAGTAGGTTTTGATGCAAGTGACAGAGGGAAATGTTTTAATTAGTTTATACTTGGGTTAGTTCAGACTTTCAGTATTTATTTTTTTTCTTCTTCCATGCAGGTGGATAAGAAAAAGATGGGGATGTTGTCGAGTGCCATTCAGTTAGGATCCACTAGTCTTGCCAAAAAGAAGCTATTTCTCAGTATGCCCAAAATGAATAAAAAAAAAGATGTAATTCTGCATCCCACTGAAGGCCAGGGATAGCAAGTGCTTTAAGAGAGCAACTTGGTTAAATCATAAGATCTCAAGATACTATATAAAAAGAGAAAGTAGGTCTTATCATTTATCAATGATAAGAATAAAAGGGTAGCAAGAACATGTAAAGTGAAAATCAGGAAAAAAGCACAAAATGAGATGCAACTAGAAAGGGATAGAAAAAGAAACACAAAAACTTTCTATAGTACATTAATGGTGAGAATACAATAAGGAAATAATTGCTGCAGCGTTCAGAAGAAGATGAGAATTATTGACAGACGCTACTGTGAATAGTGAAGTGTGGAATGCCTTTTTTTGCTTCGCTTTCTGAAAAGGTTAAGTATGATCAAATGATTAATCTCTACCTCAACTTGAGTTTTTATCACTAAAAAATGAGCTGGAGCATTTTTAAGTGTCTTCAAACCAGGTAGGCCTAATGAAATTTACCCTTTGGTGCTTACAAAAGGACAGAAAGGGTAATGTCTCTGGGATTCTTGAAAAGTTATGTAGGATTGCAAGATTGTAGGGCATGTGTCTTTAAAAGGAAAAAGAGGAAGAATTGAAGAATCACAGGTTGGTCGGTTTAGATTACATTTCTGGTAAAAATCTGGAATAAATCATTCAGCTATCTGTAAGCAATTGGATTTAAGGAAATGATAAGAGCTAGCAAGGATTTAACAGTAACAAATCAAGGGGAAATAATTTAACCTCAACTTAACAGGTAACAGGCCTAGAGGAGAAAAGGTGGTGGTCTTTGGCCATCACAACTGACACTTGCTTACTTGGGAGATTAGTAAGATCTGGCCCATATGATTATTCTAGTTATATAAAGTGCTGTTTTAAGATGCTTTAAGATTACTGTGGGCTTGGTAAAAATAGATGACCTATGCTAAGTATATCTCATTAGTAACTACCCCAGTGCTATATTAATTCTGTCAGATGTTTTTGATTTCTTCTGTAAACTGGGTTGTGAAAAATAGTGGCATAAAAAATTATTTCTAGTTGTTGTATTTGGCATTCATTCAGTTGTTTCGGATCTGCTATTAACTGAACTGTGAAGCAAATTAAGCATTATCTTCTTCTTAAGCAGCTAATAGCTTCTGATGTTTTCTGTGTAATATGGTTTATTTATTTTATTGCAGGATTTGGTTATCCGTATCATCTTCATTCTTGGTAATTTAACAGCAAAGAATAACAAGGCCCGTGAGCAATTTTTTAAAGAAAAAGGAAGTGTTAACACCTTGATATCATTATTCCAAACCTACCATGAACTTGATTTGAATGCACAGAAATGTTACCATGAAAAAGGAGGGGAAGGGAAAAAACACCCAAAGCATCCTTCAGAAGCAGAAGATGTTCTGATAAAATTGATAAGAGTGCTGGCCAACCTCTCCATTCATCCCAGCGTAGGAGCAGCTCTGACAGCTGCCCATCGTGTTGTAGAACTACTTGTCACAGTACTAGGTAATAAAATCTATGTTGTCTTTGTTATCTTTGTTCATTCTGTAAGGAGAGTTTAGGATTTTTCTACTTGACCTTCGTATTAGGTTGACCCATAACCAAATCGGTGCCATTGCTAAAATAACAAAGTCAATCTTCTGATGTTCATAAACTGGTTTATGTAGAAAGCCTGTTTGAGACAGTGGAAACACTGCTCCTTTGGTATTGACTTTTCAGTGTCTGGGGAAAGGTGTTGTGAAATGTTTAATTCAGTGATCAGATATGCAGATACGATCATTAAAAATAAGCAAACAAATTTTATTTTAAATACAACTCACTGAGAGTTTATATAAAAGGGAAGTGTGTTCTTATCAGTGCTACGTGGGTGTGTTTGATGGTGGGGTTTTTTTAAAGTTTGCAAGTTTTGTGACCATTCTGAATTAAGTATTATTTTTGTTCCCTGCACCCATAACTTTCAGCCTCCTCGAAAAATTTCCTCTTATTTTTTTCTTCTTTGTCAAATTTCCAACCTTTGTCTTGAGGGTGTCCCTTTCCCTCCAAACGACAGTTTAGGACTGCAGTTCCTTTACCATTTACTGGTCCATTTGTAAATCTAATCACCGGCCAGAACTGGGCAGTCTGTTCTCCCCGTAACAGAGTTTAGCAGTGACAAGATACATCTCAAAGACCTCAGTGTATTTTAATGTGTGATGAGAACATTTAGTATTATGTAAAGACAATCAACTTGATTAGATGCTAGTTTACCACTCTTACCCACCAGCCATGGGGGTTTAGAGAAGGCGGACTCACAACTTTGTCCGTTCTGTCCCTGTAGGAGCTTCCTGGGTTGGAACTGGCTTAATCATTGTGTAAGCACTTTTGAGCCTCAAAGCTTCTCTCTGCCACCCTCCCCTCTTCTTGAGTGCCCTATCAGTTAGTTTGCTACCAAATGTTCTCTCTTCCTATGAACTTGCCCCTCTCTATTTCCCTTACTCTTAGTTTCTGAGGCCAGAAACCCCAGATAAATTGGTATACACAACTTTCCAACTTGCTGGTATAATTTTACACTGGTTAACATTCTGTCAGGAACTCTAAGAGAATCAAATATTGTTAAAGAAGTCTTTTTTTTTTTTTTTCCCCAATTTTTCACGGTACTTGACATTTCAGTATAATAGTCCTTGGTATTTCTCTGTGTCTATCACATGGGCCTATTTCTGAATGTGGAGTTTCATCAGTTTCATCTTAAAACATCAAATAGGATCTGTAAAATGTCTTCATTAACCAGATTTTAAACCATGTTGCCATAGTCACAATGATTTCTGTAGATGAAGAGTTGGAAAGAATGACTTTATATTGCCATTTTTGGATCATTTGTTCCTGTTAGCTTCTGCCATGTTACTGAAAAACAGAATTAATTTTCTGTAATAGTGGCCATGTAAATTATGATTCAGTTCGCTTATCTATATAGATTTTTTATATATATATATATGTATATATTACATATAGTGCACTGCTGAGTTACTCATGTGCATGTGTGTATCTACATATGCATATGTTTTTTGGTTTTGTTTTTTTTTTTTTTACTATCAGAATACAAGTCAATTGATGATTGTGAGGAGTTGGTCATCAATGCTGCAACAACAATCAACAATTTATCCTACTACAAAGTGGAGGGTTCTGCTGTTCAAGACAAGAAGCTGCACATTGCTGAAAGTAAGGACTTTTAAACTAGTACTTTTTGTATAGATTTCTGAAAGTGGAAGTTATTCATGCTGTATTTTGACACTACAGAAAATAAAGACACTGGTAGTGATTTGTGGTATCATACTGCATGAATGTGAAGTTCATAGGGCTAAATTCTTCCCACAATGATTTCTTATTCTTTTGGAACGTAATTCTATAACTTGTGTGAAAATAGTTAGGTTGTTGACAAACTCCCTTCTTTTCCTCCCCAGAGGAATTTGCTGTATTGTTTTCTGTTTAGCAATTTTTGCTAGACTTGTTCAAAAAGTATATGCCTGAGCCAAAATACTCATGTTGCGCTTTACTTCTAACTGGAGTATGGTAAGAAAGTGGGGTTTTTTTCTTAGTACCTTCTAGGCCTGCAAAATCTAATTTCTGTCTGTTTCTGGCTTACTGGCAGTGTAGGAGCTGTGGGATTCTCGCCCCTCTGACAGTATGGACAATAGTCCTGTTTTAGTGACGAGTAGGAACTGCATCTTCCCTGCCTGTCCCATGTGCTCTCCCTCTCCTGTTTTTATTGTTAGCATGTGGAACCAGTCCCATCACCTTTCCTCTGCCTGAACTGAGGAGAGAGAAAGCCTTCTGATGGAAGACCAGCAGGCTTCCTCCTCTAGGAGACATTTTGAGAATACTTGCTGTTTGATACAAGTGGTGGATCCCAAAGACAAAAAATAATCATTTCAGATGTCTCTTTAAGACAAGTTCAAGGCATGTTCAGTATTGAAACATTCAAAGATGGAGGTAGTGGGAATGAAGCCAACCTCTTTTCTGTATTTTTTTCCTCTCACTTTTCTGTGGCAGAAGGGTTAAGGATTGACTGATTTGTGTCCTTTATATGATGGACTAATTTCAGTGGTTCACTTCATACTCACAGAAGACTGATAAACGTAACCAGAAAATAATCTGAGTTTTAGGAGACATCCCACCACAAGACCATCTGTTCAGAATCTAAATCAATTCTCTTATATATTACAGCGGTTTTTTTCTTCTTTGACTTCCTGGATTTTCACATGAGCCCACTCAAAACTGTACAGCAAGACTGGGTCCCGTTATTACAACTGTGCATAGGCTATCTTCATAACTCCTCATTTGTTCCTTTGCATTTATCCCCATATTGGAGCTCTTTGTCTCATCTTCAAAGCCTTACACAATTTAGCTCTTGTTCTACCATCAGCTCACCCCCTTCACTGCAACCAGACAGATAGATAGCTGTTCCCATTTATAACATTTATTGCTGTTGCTTTTTGCATTCTGGCATTTATTGATAAAAAGCCAAGCACATGTTTGTGATATACAAGTAACTGTTTTTATTTCATTTCTCTGCAAACCAATAGTGCTTTTAAAGCTGTTAATGAGCAGCAATATGGATGGAGTTGTGGAGGCTGTCAGAGTCTTTGGCAATCTTTCCCAGTATCATGAGATCTGTGACTTCATCATACAAAAAAAGAGTGAGTTACTTTTGCATTTGTAGGAGTCCTGTTTTTAAATGTCCGTAGTTCTAAAAAAGAAAGATTGTTAATCAGCTGTCTCAGTTAAAGGGTAGAAGCAATCTCCTATGATGTTTTGCAAATTAGGCTAATGTTAGAATCCAACAGTAGTCATTATAAACACCATTTCATTTCTGTTTCATTAAAATGGAAATATTGGAGTAGGAAAAATGTGCCATGGTGCCTTCACAAAAGTAAATACTACAAAAACTCTGTTTTTCCTAAAGATTATAATTTCAAAATTTCCCTTCGCTCCTTCAGTTTTCAATCCTACAGGCTAGCAGTGGTACGATAAAAAATGAAAATCTAACTAAATTCTCCTTTAGGTCATAATCACAGGTTTTCAATTCCCGTGTCCGCAGCTTGTTAGCACTTTGTGACACACATTTAAGATGTTTGCCTCAACAAAGAGACCTCTGATTTGCCTCGGTGTGAAATAGGATACAGGTCTTCCCAAGTCCTTTTGCTTTGGGTGCCTAAAAAGCTTTGGGGAAAACTTTCTGTCCACAGAAGGTGTGTCATAAGTTTAAGTAAACACCCGTTCACGGTAAGTTTTTTTTGTATCTACCTGTCAGTACTGAAAGTGAGGTGATACGCTGTAATACACAGCCCCTTCTTTCAAGGGTGAGCATACCACTGCTTTTGGAGGAGGTATCTGCAAAGGGAGAACTGACACTTGGTAGCTGATTGCTGATGAGCTGTCTCCAGCAAAGGGCTGAATTTTCCTCCTGGGAGAGACTGGTGCCTGTGTGCGGAGCCCAGGACCAGCTGAGAGGCTGCCTCTCCATTAGGCAGGGCTGACTCCCTCGCTGGGCTTGCCTTCTGCTGCCAGGGCTCAGCACCAGCAGGGGCAGCGAGATGCTGCAGGTCCGGCGGCTGCTGCCTGCCTGTCTCCCGCAGGAGCCCCGGGCTGCAGCCCTTCCAACTGGATTTGGTGCAGCCCGGGGCAGCCCTGCCACTCACGGAGGCAAGAACTTCCCTCTCTGGGTGCCAAATGCCAAATCCTAGCAGTTTCTGCTGACCGTGCAATTGAAAGGAGGGTAATACTTTAAGAAATAAGCTGTAATTCAGTTTGGTCAACTTAATCTCTTCTGATTGGATTTTCACATTAACTTGGTGTATTTTTATAACTAGAATTTTGTACGTGGTGTTTTGAAGAGAACTGGTGTTCAGCCTGATGTAATAATGGCTGTTACTCTGGGTCATGCTCCTTCTCTACAGATGTCACAGTCATATGCTACAAGGTTAAATTTTTGGGGTAGGATATCCTGCATTTGGCTGCTTTCTAAATACATGTGCTTAATGTGTATGCTGTAATGCCACTTGTATGGTAAGTCCATCTTCCCAGTAATGCTGTTTCCTTCTTTACAATCCAGTATACAAGTTCATGATTGCTTTGCTTGATGCCAAGAACCAAGATGTCTGTTTTTCTGCCTGTGGAGTTCTGCTCAATCTCACAGTAGATGAGAACAAACGAGCTTTTCTGATTGAAGAAGGAGGAATTGGAAAGTAAGTTCCTGATTATGCTTACAAAAAAGGCAATTTTGAGTAGTTTGGCCAAAGAGTTTCAATCAGGTTCTTTTTTACTGAGGCAAATAACTTGTAATCACAGAATCATATAACTTAGTAGATACTCGGCATCTACTGTTCTTGAAGAAAGAGCCTTTCATATGGTTTTTGCAAAAGCATTGAAATCGTTTAGCCTACTGCAGAACCCAAAACCATAGAATAATCTCCCAAAGATCCTCCTGATACACACAGCAGAGGAGAGTGCCATACAACAAAGCAACTCAGGCGTGTCTTTGCAGTAGCTGCTTACGCTTGACTTCACTGGATCCTGTGGGCTACAGTTAACAGGCACCATTAATGTGTATCCCGTGTAAGTGTGAAGATTACTTCAAGAACTGTGATATCCTGCATGGTCTCCTGCATTTTTTGTAACTACTTTGTACTATAGTGAAAACTATCTGATGTAGCCATGCTCGGCAAAGAATAGCTCCTGAGTCTTCTCCCTCTGACAGTTCAAGATTAAGACATTTACACTGTAAGTGGTATTAGATCTTGAAAAACCACTGTGGGTGCAACACTTGTGGCTTTGATGTTCAGATAATAGCGGATCCAGCTTAATTGGAGGAACATGAATGATCGTGTTCCTATGCTTGTAAAGTAGTTGATACAACCCATGTTTATGAAACAATATGCTTAACTTTGAAATGCTTTCCTGTTCACACATCGTATAATTACTTTTTTATACAATGTAAACAATGTATAGTCTGCTCATCCCTCCTTCCCATGTTCTAGTTAACTTACAAAATAGAAATCTGAAAAAGAAGTCTAAAAACAAGTTACAGGCAAATGGACTAGTAAATGTGAGAAAGTTCTATTATATAGAATATAGAATCATATAGAATATAGAATTTTCTATACTCTGAAAATTTGTGAAGGAGGAAGGAAAAAGAGTAACAGTATGGAATAAATCTAGAGAATTTGGTAGTGATTGTTAAGGAGGTCGTCCAGACTATGCCAAACCAGCTCTGTGGATTTTTGGAAATTAGGTTATTGTACCAATGTATAGTGGCCCTAATAAAACATGGAATTGGTCTCATCAGAGAGTTAAACTTCAAAAAATATGGGAAAGTTCTTTTGGCTTTTCATTAGATGCCTCCTGGTCTTCCACAATGACTGCCTTCAGATTGGAGAGCAAAACCAAACCTCTGCTTGGTTGCTTTTCAGTAACTGCTATTTTTAGCCATGCCTGAATGTAATAGTTATCCCGTGTTCCCTTTTTACTAATCACCGATTACGCATCGCCCAGTGAAGTGGAGAAGTGAGGAAAAGAGGGGGTTGTAGGGATAGGGAAGGGAACAGCAGTGGAGGATTATTGTTGGAAAGGTCACTAGGGACAGCAGGTAAAAAACAATGTTTACTTCTGCTGCCCCAGGACTTGTGAATGCTGCTGTTTGGTAATGGGAACCCTGGCTAGCTACTGTATGTCAGCTGGTGCAGGCAGAAAAATTAATTTCAGAGTCCTGTTTATAATCTACCCTGCAAGGATGTGAGATTGGGAGAAAGGTCAAGAACCTAATGGTCCTCAATAAAACTGGCATTTCTGAGAGGAGTCCACTGGGAGTGCAGGCTGAGGAAATACACAAAGGGGTGAGATCAGAACAGTCAGACTTCACTGAATGTAAAAGGTAATTCTGTGAGTCATGGAAATAGTGAATTCCTTTGGACTTGTCTTCTGTTCAGATCCTCTGACATGTAATAAGCTGGATATTCTGACTGAACCTTTTTCTGCATTCATACCATCTTTTCCAGATGAATTCTTGGTGCCCGATAAGGTTTGGCTCACATTGCAATCTCTGCTCTAGTGGTAGCCACAGATTTGGGATAGCTACAGATTTGGAACAGTCACGGGTTCTCATGAAATTTGATGGAGTTTTAGTGTCTTTGAGATGGTTACATTTGTGGTGTGTGTGACTGAATTTGGTCAGCTGGGTTAAAAAGTTGTAGGGGATGGACAGATGCAGGCAGGCATATGTGCAGACAAAATGCATGTTCACATCCTTAGGGAACTAGACTAAATGAAAAGGGGGAAGTTACTGAGGAAGAAAGTAGTGTCTTAAGTTTATTGATGTAGATTTTTCCTGCAAACTTTCATGGAGTCCGCATACATTTCTAGATTGCCAGATTTTGAAGGGGTCAGGAGAAAACTATATAGAGCAAAAACACGGTTTTTGTTTGATACTGACAGGTTAGTTGACTGTTTGCAAGACTTTGGGCCCGCAGACTGGCAGCTGGCTTGTTTGATATGCAAAACCCTGTGGAACTACAGTGAAAACATCACGAATGCGGCCTCGTGCTTTGGAGAAGACACTGACACGTTGCTGGTGCTGCTCATGTCACTCTTAGGTGAGATTCATCATCTCGGTCTCTTTTCCTTAATAAAAGAAACAGAAGGAGCAAAATCAAAGCAAGGTTAGTTTGGCTGGGAGGTCTGGCATGCAGGTTTAAGTGGCTGGCTGGTAGGGACTCTCCAGCACCACGGTGGTCTATTGCCATTCAGCACATTCCCTCAGCTCTTCCAGCCTGCCAAGGTGGAACTGGCTGCCGTCACTCCCCAGTCCCCTTTCTCTGGTTCACCCGCCGCTCGTGCTTTTCACCAGCTGCCTCTTCCCCTGCTTGAGCCAGCCAGCCCGCAGAGCTCCGGGGCTCAGCACGCTTTTCACCGCCCGTGGGTCCTTCTGGCCTCTGAGGCCGTTGCGGGCCTTGGCAGCAGCCGGGGCTCCGTCCGGCCAGCCGGGCCTTTCCCCTCGGCCGCCGGGCTGGGCGGCGCGGCGGGCTGAGCCTGCTGCTCTGGGCAGGAGCCCCTTGGCCGCCCTTCTTTCCTCATCACGAGCTCCCTGTGGGCAAGGGCAACGTCCTGACAACTTCACATCCGCTCCCCAAAGCTATGGAGGGTGGAGTCCTCCACAACTACAGGCTGGAAGGTGCCTACAAGTGGCTGTTAAGACCCTGATTTGCTTACCCAGTTGGACCTTTTCATCTGTACATTTATGTTCGCTTCAAATTTTCCAGATTTTAATTTCTATGTAATAGTCCTACAGTCGCTATATGTAATTCTCCTCCTTTATTTTATGAGCACTGCTTTGGTTATGATTTTATTTTGGGCAGGCCATTTGAAATTATCTTTCAAAAAAAAAAATCTTTAAAGTGTAAATGAAATTGAAGCGAACCTGAACTAATTTTGATTTGATATTAATTGGAAATTTACTAAAGAGATGTCCTTGCTGTGGGGAAGGCAGCATGTTAGTCAGACCTAGACAGAAAGTGAGATCCCCATGATCTCTTTTGTTTTTAGACTATCAGAAAACTGGGTGGATTTGTGAGGATTTTTTTCCAGTTACAGCAGAATTACCGTTATTCATTGTTGTAATCATTCCTTGCATTACATTCCTTGCTGTGGTAGAGCATATCTTAATGTGAGCAGTAATTCTACATACATATCTGGAAATACTCAGTGTTTCAAGCACACTTCTTAACATTCTGCAACAGAACTGCAAACTTTACAGCCACAATCATGCTTGAATTTTCTGGCATGCAGCAAGGAATATATATCTTTGTTTTGGAAAATTCTTACTTACTTTTTCCTCTGCATTTAACACTGCTTATTTCAGCAATTGATTTGACTGCAGAATCCAGGCTGGGTAGTAATTGGAACTCTCATTAACTAGTACAGCTTTCATGAACTGGAAGTTCGTGTACAACTGCAATTGCAGTTACAACTGTAACGACAAGTAATTAAAAATAGGTCAGGATTAAATCAGAAGGCTAGTCTTTCTTCGCACTGTAGTCAGAAGGGTAGCTAGAGAAAAAGTGCAGCTTATTCGTTGGATCCGGTTCCTCTGTGTATTAAAAGCTAACAAACTTCAGTGTTAGCAGCTGGTTCACATTGTCCTACACCTTCCTCCTCCCATTGTATCCAGTAACGGCCTGGAACTGTCCTTGCTCTGATTCTGACATTCGGGAAGCAGGAGGCAGCTGCTGGCGGGCAGTGGACTGTCCTCAGGCATCAGCGCGCCCTCAGGAAGCGGGAAAAGCGGAGCGTGGCGCAGCAGACGCCTCACTTTACCTGCTGTGCTTGGCTGCTTCCCCTTTATTTTTCTTTCCCCTACCTGGCACAAGATGTCAAAAGATTGAGGGAGCCAAAAGGGAGTGGAAAGAGCCTGAAAAGATGTTGGGCCCGAGAAGGGTTGGACCAAAGGCGCCGTTTGTTTCTCATTTTCCCAGGCTGATCCCAGCACCCTGAGATGCAGTGGCGCTGCTTTCCAAGGGCACTGTCATTTGCTGCCTTTCAGCTGCTCTGGAGTTTCACATCAGTTTAGTGGCTCAGAGCTGCTGGGGGCTGCTGTTTCCAGGGCTCTGGCAGCAGCTTTGCCTTGTCCCAGTCCCTCAGGAGCAGCAGTGGAGACGAGCCTCTTGTCTTGAGAACTTCCTTCTGTTTGGTCGTTCAGTGAAATCTCCTTTCTCCCTTTCTTTTTCCAGACTTCTCTTCTGCTCACCTTTACCTCTGCTATCAGTTCAAGGAGGTTATTTTGCAATCTCAATACATGTGAACTCCTACACGGCATGACACTAGCTGGCCCCTGGCTTGCTGGAGTTACAGGGTTGGTACCCCTTGCAGACTAGCATCTCTACTCTAGTTTTCAGCTTCCCACATAGCATGCGGGCCCAGGATGCTTGTTCCTGGGCTTGCAGCCAGTTCATACGCTGTTTGGCCAGTACCCAATTTTGCTAGTTTTGAGGAGGGTCATGGGAAAATTAAATTATCTGAGGATGCACAGCTTGCATGTGGGACACTGATCTTCACTGATCCCCAGTGTTACTCACATTCTGCTTTGGGAAATTTACTGTTTTGGTTCAACAGTTCAGCTTTTTAAAACTGATTCTGGCCCTTATTCTTGTAGGCTGGAATTTCCAACCTCAGTGATTCCATAAACATTCAATCAACTTCTGGGGGACACAGCTGTCTAATAAAAGGGAAAAATGTCTCTTGTTCCGTGTTAGAGGACAGTTAATTTGGGTAGAAGAATCATTTCAGGAGCAGGCAGAGCAGTTCTCCCTGAAGACAAAACCCATTATCCCTTCTCTTCCTCTTCAGGGTCTCACTTCTCTACTGCTGAGATTAATTTTAAATATGTTGGGCTACTGTGCCAGTGATAGGGCAAGAGATAAAGGGCACAACCTGCAATAAGAAAAATTCCAGTTAAACATTAGGAAAAGTAGTATCCACCATGGCAGGGGTCAAACACTGGAACAGGCTGCCCAGAAGGGCTGTGGACTCGACATCCTCGGAGATGTTCAGTGCTCAGCGGTACATGGCCCAGAGCAACCTGATCTGTGGTGGCTCTGCTCCACAGGTTCTGTTCAACCTCAGTTATCCTATACCATCAAATAGAGACCTCATGTCTGAGGCTGGTTTTTAGCTCTGATTATAGGGTTTCTTCCTGCAGAAATATGACATGTCTTCCTTCTTAAAAGAAGGGGGGGGGGGTGTCTCTTTATTTTATTACAGAAAGCCACTAAATGGCATCTTCTCTTTATGCAGCCCCCCTTTTGAAATCCACCTCGCAATCAGCATCTCTTTGATTTTGGTAATTTAGAAACTGTAGTGGCGTAGAAATGAAGTGTTGTTTGCAGTTACTGATAATTTGCTATGAAATGGAGACCATCTCCACGCAAAAGTAACGTCGTCTCTTCCTTTACAGCTGTTGCAGCTCAGGCCGTGTGCTCTGCACAGGCACCCTGGCATTCTTTTAAACAGGACTAGTTGCTGTTTGAGCATCTCTTTTCTATACAAAGTTTGATTCAAAATGTGGGTAGCTGCCTGCTGTGAATGTGCAGTAAGCTCCCTTACAGAGTTAGTTAGTTGACAGATTACGAATCTGGTGCTCTTTCATAGTCTAGGACAAAGGTAAGTCACACTACCCACTGGATGCAGGATTGCATCTTCATTTTAGGTCCATTTATGGCCTAAAGGCTGTCAATAAACTGTGTGAAGAGATTTGTTCGGCCTTTTCAGTTGTATTTGTAGATTCCAGATCCAGGAGTGTGCTTCTGGCTGCAGACCAAGTTCTTTTTTTCTGTTAGGGTTTGCCTCTTTGCCACATCCAATGCCAGGCAAAATGGAGGGGGAATAACGAGCAATGACTTCCTTTCATTCCTAACATTGCCTGTCTCTGTTAAGAGTGACCTGTTTCTTTATTTAAGAAGTCTGTGAGGAAGGGGGGCCATCAATAATACAGTAACTCGTGTGGTTCAAGTTCTTTAAGAGCAATAGTAGATATAGTTTGAGAGAGTCTCCATAAACCGGATCAGCAGAGCAATTTGTGACACAAAAAACGTAATTGTAGTTAGATTAATTGATTACATAGCAAAATTGCTGTGGGCAGTGTCGAAACCCAAATAGTTTCCAGGCTGACGGTCACAGTAAATGCTTGATCTTCGAGACACAGTTTAGCTACACCTATGAGGTGGGATGATTAAAGAACCTGCAGTAACCTTTTTACTGTTTTACTGACCTTAACCTCCTCTATTTTCAATTAAATCTAAATCCTTCAGACAGTGCTGCTTAGTTTGTCTTAGACATAGAGTTGTTTTAAAGCCATCGACACGGACAACTGCTAAGTTACATGTGCTGTGGTCGTAAAATACACAGTTGGGTGTATTTTTATTCAGAACTGATTACAATATTTTCCTTGATTACAGATGAAGAGCTAGCGTTGGATTACAGCCTTGACAGAGATTCAAGGGACTACCACAAACTGTATTGGGAAAGAGAGTTCAAACCTGTGGCAGAAAAACTTCTTGATAGAATTCAAAGCCGTCGCTCCTTTCTTCCAACCGTGACTGTTACTCCATTTTAGTCATTGTTTGTTTTTTGTGGTGTAGATTGTACAGCTCTATATTTCTAATATACTTGTACACTGCCATTGGCGAACATGGCAATTTGATTTTTAAAAAGTCAGTAAAGCCTGGAATTTACATACTGGATGCCAGCTTTTAAGAAGCTTGTGTGAAATTCTTGCATTGTGCAATTACCTTTTAGAACACATACGAGCTGATCAAGCAGCTATTCAGTGTGATTTGTCTATTATTTGCACAGTTTCTTGGGTAGGAAAATAAAACTGCTGAACTTTTAATTTTTAAAAGGTAAATTACCACTGGGTACCTGGACCTCCGTGATACCAAAAAAGCTGAGCGCTATGGAAGAATGTTGCATGACAGGAGCCACATCTTACCTCCAGACTGAGACACTTTTACTTTGAAATTCTGCGACAGAGTAACCCAAACGCTCTTGGGGCATCCTACTGTGTTACACCATAAGCCTCCCTCTTCAGACTGAATGTTCCCAGTGGTCAGGGGGAAAGGTGCTCCACTTCCTTCCAGAGATCCCCCCCTTCTTTACCTGATGCTGTGTAGCTGGGGTGTTGTGTTGCAGCTTGTAGGATATAGGTCCAGCTGTGCTGGAAAGAGGCTTTTCTGAATTGGGACTATACATCTTAAGGCAAAGCACCCATACCCCTGATGCGAGGGAAGATTTTAGCTAGTCTGGTGTGTTCTTCTTTCAGTTGTTCCCACATTCCCAGGAGTCATCTGTGTGCCTGTACAGCCTGGACCATCTTGGCAAGCCATCTCCCCTGGGCTCACGTCTCCATCCACGGGGCAAAGGAAGGCTCTGCATGCTTCACCTTCCGACTGCTGCTGGCTTGTTTATTGCTCAGTTTTCATCCTTTCCGTGCATAGAGGTCCCTGCTTGTAGCCCATGGATTAGCCCCGCAGGTGCACCCCTGGCCTCAAGCATTAACAGCCCAACTGGCCGCAGAAAGCTTTACCGACCTGACCCGCTTGTCTCATTTCTGACCCCAGATTTCTAAGAACAAACCGCTGTGCGGGGGCTCCTGGCTCTGACCTGGCGTGTCAGCAGCCTGGCGCTGTGCTGCGTGTGCCAGGAGGGCGAGCCTGCAGCCTGGCAATCCCTGCAGACCGCCTGGGGAGAAATTTGTTTTTTCTGAGGCGGCAGTGCAGAGCTCCCTCCGTGGCGCCGCTGTCCCTCTGGCAGCGCCCGGGCCTCCGCTTCCAGGCGTAGAGGCTGGGAAGCAGAGCAGTAGGAGAAGGGCAGGGAAACTTCTCTCCTAGTCTAGGTGCCTGTTTTTACATTCTCGGGGCTTTCTTTACTGTTGATGAGGCGGGGGGAGGGCAGATTTCACGGTCCAGGTTTTGAGAGTGGTGAGGAAGGCACTTCAGTGAAGGTAATGAAATTTGCAACGTTCCTTTTGCCCCAGCAGCTCGGCTATTTCTCGTGACCAGCAGGGCCCAGCCCCACAGTGAATCGCTTGGGCAGTGCCTGGGGCAGCTTCCAGCACTGCGATCCGCAGTTCCGTACGGTTTGGCTCCAACGCCTGCTCCACCCAGCTTGAAAAGATCTTGATAATTGTATCATTCCCCCTTTTGCTGTTTTAATTTTAGCTGAGGTTGAGGGGGAAGATAAATGACTTCAATGCCCCATTTGTTACTTGGAAAAAAGAATGGATTTGCTTTCTGGGGGCGTTAAAGAAAGTCTGAGGGGTAAGTGCTCCCCTGGGGGGAGCGAGCTGGAGGCATTTGTTCTTGGCATTTGCATCAAGGCAGAAGGTGGGCAAGCACCAGGCTGTGAAATGCAGGGTGGGGATGCAGTGGAAAAGGCCTTTGCGGCCAAGTCCTGTCAGCAGGTCCCGTCAGAACTGACAGGGGTTGAGCCTCTGTCAGAAGGCAGCCTGGAAGTGGTGGTTTGCTCGAGTCAAGGCGGATGAGCAGGCAACTCGGATTCGGTCAAAGAAAATGCCCGTTATGTCAGTTGTTACCCATCATAAACCAAGGCCTGGGGCGCTGCCTCATGTGTCCTGTAGCACAGGGCAAAATTTGGGTGTCCCAGGGGGGAGAGCAAAGCTGGGGCAGCTGCTGGGTGCGAGCTCTGGCCTCGTGCCGAGGGCTCGGCCGGCGCCCGCGGTGCCCAACAGCAACCCCAGCCCTGGCTCCCAAGGGGCTGCCTGGGCCCCTGTCCTCCTCTGAGCAAAAAACGTGGAGGTAACGAGAATAAGCCGCAAAATGCTGAATTGCTGATGTATTCTTAGGACATCTTCTACCACTTGGGTGTCTTTGCAACAAACCTCAGTGAAGAAGCCCTCGTGACTTAGGCACCCTTTCCTGTTTAGTGAGCAAGTACTTGGCCTCTGTCACGCAGCTCCTTTTTATCTGGGGTGGGGGTGTGTGTGTGTGCGTTTTGGTTTTTTTTCAATCAGTGTCCTACCTGGGCCCACACAGCAGCCACCCACTTAGTTCCCTTCACTCGTGCTGGTGCACGCCCCCTCCTTCCACAGCTTTTCGGACAGGTCCCCCCGGCGCCGTGTCCTCTGGGGGGGCAGCTGCCAGTACCCGCACGGTGCCCAGCCCAGCTGAGGTGCAGGAGATGCTCAGGAGCCATTGGGGCTGACAGCCAGCACCTACCAGAGACCGAGGCAGGGCAGGGGCTTGGCCCTCACGCAGCCCGGGGCAGCGGTCGCCATTTTCTTGTTTATAAAGACTGACGCCACTGTCTTGGTTGCCACTCTGCCTCGCAGCCTTGCTTGTTGTCTCCTGCTTAGGACCACAACTGTCTCGGCATTTTTAATGGAAACTTCCCCCCAACCATTTCAGGCCCTTTCTCCAAAGTAAGTAGCTCCGGGTATAGTTAGGATTGGCCGCAGGTTGTGGAATTGCTCTGTTTGAAAATGTGACCGTGTGAAGCCATTGACATGCCCAGACCCGTCGTGTTTAAGACTTGAAAAGGGAGAGTGTGCTGGCAGGTACCTGCACGTGCCTGCAGAGCACAGCACGGAAAGGGCCGGTTTAGGCTTCTCAGAAAATTTCACGTCTACCTTTGACCCCCTGAAAAACAGCAGGAGAATCAGGTGCTGCAGAAACTCCATTTACAGACTGGAAAGGCACTTACTCTGTGTCCTTAGGCATAGCTCAGCTTTATGATAATGCCCTGAGACAGGAAAGTTTTGCTCTGTTTGTGGAACATTAAAAATCCTGTATTTTTAGTGAAGAGGAAGCAGCAGATGCTTCCTGTTAGTCACAATTTTTGTCAGTTTATTAATCTTTCTCCCCGAGATCTTTTTAGATATTTTAGCTTCTTGGACTGTAAACTTAAAACTGTTCTCAGAGTGTTCTGTAGAGAGAGAAACCAGTCTAAACTAAATGAGAACCGGGCCAAGGGACAGAAATTTTTATTTCTTCTACCTGCGGGCTTGGGAAAATCCGTTTCTTTCCTGCCTCACAAATAAGGCTCCTGCCTTCCCCATAGCAGGTGGGAGTTCCTACGCGTGTGCGCTGAAACCCCCGCTACAGCCCGCCCTAGCAGGGTGTCCAAAAGAGCTTGTCACTGCCCCGCAGCCAATCCCCCTCCCACTGCCCCTGACCTCTTGCCCTGAACTCCTCAGTCTGACTGCACAGACCTGACCATCCTTCTGGTGCCAGAGAGCCTTTGGGCACTAGCCTATGAAAATGAGCAGCCTAATCTGGAACTAAGCTCACTATTGGAGGATTTTAAAATCAGGTGAACTCTTAAAACAGTATTTAGAGCTAGTTATTGAAAATAAGTGATGATATAAACATACAGTTGAAATCTCTGACCATATCATGGCTGTTACCTGTGAAGAAAAAGAAAACCCTCTACAAATACAACAGAGTGTTCCTCAGCAGAGGGTAGAAGACTGGGAAGGGTGAAAACATCAGGAGTAGGAGAGGGGTGTTCCTACTACAGTTTAGCAAAGATCTAAATCTATTTTTTAAACTTCTTCTCCCATCATTTTAGCCTCAGTCGAAGTATTCATGGTTTGTCATTTGAAGTATGTTTGCTCAGTTACCATTTCAAGCATTTTTAAATGGCCTTTGAGCCAGTAAGTAAAGCCGTAAGAACAAAAGTGCGAAGTTAAACCACACGAAAACACCAAGAGAAAAAGTTGTTACCTTTATTTAAAAAATACCAATAATACTGACAAATTTAAAAAGCAATTCACACTCATACAAAAGTATTCATGTGTTCTCCAAAACCACTGTATATTAAACATCAGCATTTTAATCATGTTTCGATTTACTAAAAATAGATGGTTTTTAGCCTAGTTATTTAAGCAACTGCAAAAGTCAGTAAGACCAGCGTTGGGCAGGTAATACAGTAGGACTGTTTGGCAGTCTAGAACAACATTCCCACACCTTGTCCTAGCTCCTCCTCGGTTCCCCCTTGAAAAACAGGACAAGAAGCTACTCGACACGTAGTTAGATCTCTAAAAAGGTCTGAGGACTCCAGTCCCCTTCTTTCCATAGGAAGACCACTGCACTTTGGAGCTCACCAAATAATGCTGAATGAATGTCCTGCAGCATTTTAAAGCTAAACTGTTTGAGAAAACTGACTGCTATCTTTCAAATTATCAGTGTGGACAGAAGAGCTTTAGCTCCAATTTAAAGAAGGAATCTAAATAACAAGGCTTTTTTGAAACCACACACAATAAAGGCTCAGACAATAGCAGTGCTCACTTTTGCTTTTAGCTTAACTGGAACAGCCTGGGTCTGTTCACTCCACCAGCACAAATAGCAGCATCAAGATTTTCTAAAATTATTCTCATAGGGAAAGCAACTGTCGTCAAGTCCCACTTCTTGTCACGCTCCAACTCCCCTAGTATTTGCCTTAACACAAGATCTATATATCTATCATTTGCTATATTGCCACGAGTTCAGAGAGTGTCCTGTGCTGCCTAAAGCCAGGATCCCAAGGAGAGGCAGCACTTGTGCACAACCCTGTCTTCTCAACTGCCAAGCGTTCACTGCCGAGTGGCGGCACTGAGATTCCAAACACGGAAATAGCTGAAACTAAAGGAGTTATGGCACAACGGGCGTCTTAAACTTATAGCTACCCTTGGTCCTGAGGCTTCGTTTCCTCCTGCGCCATGCTGCAGCTGCAGAACATTCCAACG